TTTATACACCCCCTCCCCACTACCGTGGATTTCTTTAAATATGACCCACATGCCATCGTATCTACATGTAAATGCGCGGATCGATGATTATGATATCAATCACTGGAATGTCTGATCCATATTTTCAGACCTTCGTCATTTAGCTGGAATATTGGTGAGTTTGAGTTAAAAATAAATACACTAACAAACAAACCACACAAACAAATTAATACACTATCGACCTCCTCCGTGGTGTAGACCGGGTCCATCGTCTGTTCGACCCTCGGCCGCGTCCTACCAATAGACACTTAAAATGGTACTTGTCGTTACATGCCTGGAGCTCGGTATTATGGAGAATAATTTAATTTGAGATAAAACAAAGACCGTCCAGCTCGAAGGGTGTGTGAGGTGAGGTGACATTGGGTTTTACGTCGTGCTTGAGAATATTTCGCTCATATGACGACGTGCATGCGTGTGTATGTGTATGTGCGGCTGCTTGTACTAGCCCAGACTGAAGCTGGTTTTATAGTGCTAGCCCACCGAGATACCATGCCGCAGTGAAGCATGAATACCCAACTCAGACACATTATACTGACTCCGAGCCGACCAGTCCTTGTTGTACCCATTAATGCCGAGCGCCAGGCAGGGACCAACAAGTACCATATTTGAAAGGCTTTTGGTATGACGCGGTCGGGGATCGAACCCGCGACCTTCCGCTCTCTGGGCGGACGCTCTAACCACTACACCACGGAGGCGGTCGAGGGGTGTGTAATGCGTTTGGGTAGAAGAGTATTATGGTTAAATGCGGCATTGTATATTACTGGGCTATCCTCGATAATCTCCAGGGTATACGTTCCGATAAATCTATTATCGAGGATGATTACTGGACAAGCGCTGTTAAACCTCGAAGCTGTCATGGTCACTGACAGACACAAACACTGACACATACACAGACACATGCATGTACATATACATATATGTTCATGCACGTAGCGGGCGGTTGGGTAGCCTAGCGCTCGTCACGCCGAAGAATATTGCTGGAATATTGCTAAAAACGACGTAAAATTATACTCACTCACTCATGCACGTCGCTATACAAGTGTTATAATCTTGAACACAACGTTAAACCTTATTTCACCTCACATCGCCACATGGAGCGATGGGGTAACCTGGTAGTTAAAGCGTTCGCTCGTCACGCCGAAGACCCGGGTTCGATTCCCCACATGGGTAAAATGTGTGAAGCCCATTTCTTGTGTTCCCCCAACCCCATCCCCACCCGGGATATTCCTGGAATATTGCTAAGAGCGGCGTAAAACTAAACTATTATATATTTGCCGAGATATACGATGAAAGCCCAATCAAACCGAAACATGAGTCTCATGAACCAATTCAGACAATGACCTACTTTTCAGCCGATCCGAATTTTCTCGTGTGAAAGCGAATAGTGAAACTACAAACAGCTGTGCTTACATGATATTCCAATTCCTTGTTTCATAAGAAAACGATATTTGCAAGCCCCCACTGTTCCTACGCCCCTGAAGTGTATTTTTGTAACGTACAATGTGATTGATATAATATCAAGTCCGTACCAGACCCCAAACTTTTCTTGCGGCCGAGCCTCGTTTTGAGATTTCCATTTGTCTGAGCACGTTGTACGACAGAGCACGCTGTACGACGTGTTTGCAAGCATTAGAGGGAGCGTAGTGTTGCAATAGACAAGCGATTAGATGTATCAAATATTTCTGATTAATATACCCACAGTTGAATGAGTTGGTCTCAACATTCTGGACTGGTTATTGTACTAAGTTGCGCAGTAGGACGATACCTAGTCGGAAACGAGACTAGTTTTACTGTTGTGTAATCAATGTTTTGACGTAGGCGATGAATTGAGAATATAATTTTAGTTTGGACCAAAAATGACGAAAATAGATCTCATATTGAATTTTCTTAAATATTTAACAGTCTGGTGATATTTGAATTCCTTCAAACGGATGACCGCCTTGATTTTTATATATTCGAAATGGACAGCTGTCTATATTCGATCGATTTATTCATAAAGATTCGGTTTGGTTTGGTTGGTTGGTTGTTTAACGCCTCACTCAGCAATATTCTAGCTATATGACGGCGGTAAATGATCTGTAAATGATCGAGTATGGACCAGACAATCCAGTAATCAACAGCATGAGCATCGATCTACGCATGAGATACAATGACATGTGTCAACCAAGTCAGCGAGCCGGACCACCCGATCCCGTTAGTCGCCTGTGACGTATTCATAAAGACTCGGTTGCCTAGTTTTGTTGGGATTGTCCTCAAAGTGACGCTTGCTAAAAGGTTGGTTGACCTGTAAATCTATGTAGTGAAATTACAAATAAATAATGCTTTTGGGTAATTAGCCATAGCGTATAGTTGCAGAGGCGTCAAAACAGCTGTTACTTCAGGCTGCAGATCTGCCCGAGACTCGATCTGTCACAGAGCCGATCTACCGATGTATTCAGCATATGTCGCCGTTGTTGACGCGATATTGATCGTCTTCAGTTACGATGATAATAGTTTTGTATTGTCTGTGTTTGTGACAAAACTCGAATAGTGATGTCAACAGTCCGTGTTCGCATAAATTTCGGATTCGATTTTTGCAATTCCAGTTTTGCTTGAACCGGAAGTTTTCTAACGAAGTGAATTTGACAAAAATGTGTTTTTTGCCGCGTCTTGGTTCGACGATAACGTCAACCGATGCTCCCACTATCAGCCACGGATGTGATGCATCCAGATTCAAAGAATGGCGACAATTTTCAGCAGTTATTGGTCACAATTACTGAGTTCGTGTTTATTCCATTTTCAGTCAAGGACCTTATAACGAACACGTTTATAACAAACATTTGGATATTACGAACATTTGGATATAACAAACATTTTTGGCCCGGGCTTTTGCTATATATTTTAATCGAAATGGATATAACGAACTGCAAACAAACAGTGGGCTATTTGAGTTCGTTATAACCGTAGTTTACTGTCTTCGTGACCTTACATTTCAAATTGCACTCTATGAATGAAATGTATAGAGTGAGTGAGTGAGTTAATAGTTAACGTCACATCGGCAAATTTCAGCCATATCGTGACGAGAACAAATTTGACGATTATAAAGAATACGAGGGGATATCAAAAAGTTCTAATTCTCACCAAGACTTATTCAAGATACAAACTTTATTTTGCTTTCATGTCCTTATGATTTCTCAACATAGTCACCATCCCGAGTTACACATTTCTGCCACCGTTTCTTGACCTTGCGCAGACCGGCTGAATAGATGTCCCAAGATTTCATGCACCTTGGCCTTTTTCGGAGGTGGTGACGTGGCATGTTTCCACTCTTTACTCATCTCTTTTGTCTCAGGATCATACAAATAGACCCAACATTCGTCCATGGTTAGAAGACATCTAAAGAAATCCTCTTCACCCTGCTCCAGAAGCTCCAATGCCTGTCTTGACATGTCCCGTCGAGTCTGTCTTTGAAGATGAGTCAGTAAGCGAGGAACCAAGCGTGCTGACACTTGGGACATGTGCAGTTGGTTATGAATGATGTTCCATGCTCTGCCATAACTCAAGGTGGTCTCATGCATAGCCATGTGTATTGTTACACACGACGATCTTCCTGAACCAGCGCCTCGACTTTAACACGGTGTCCATATCATCAATACGTGAGGGGCGTCCACTTCTTGGCTCATCTGTGAGGGACATGTATATATTATAAAACCTGTCGTCAAAGGACAGTAAATCAACTAGACTATCACAGTTCGAATTTAGGGCGGTGGGGTAGCTGAGTGGTTAAAGCGTGAGCTCGTCACGCCGAAGACCCGGGTTCGATTCCCCACATTGGTACAACAGTATTTCTAAAAGTGGCGTAAAACTAAACTCACTCACTGACTAAACTCACTAACTAGCATGTGAGGTTATAACTAATAGCACAATTTGGACAATACATAATAATTATGAAAATAGGCTATAGATCGCCAACAGAAATGCATACAGAGTGATCAGTGATTTACAAGTAACAGGTAACGTCTAGTTCGTCAGCACGTACCCTTTCACATACTTAGAAGTGGGTTTGGCACTGGTTCGAAACCCATACAAGTCAGCATATCATATCTGTCTCCATATGTCTGCATACCCGACCTTATATCAACAGCCGATTTGGGGAGTGAGGTAGTCCAGTCGGACACGTGTTAGCTCGTCTCGATGACCCAAGTTCGACTCCCCCATGAATACAATGTGTGAAGCCCAGTTCTGGTGTCCTCGGCGGTGATATTGCTGGAATATTGCTAAAAGCGGCGTAAAACTAAAACTCACTCACGCATACACTAATCATATACGTAAGTCTATGTGTCTCGTCTGAGTGATGACGTCTAAACTAGTATTTCCGGCAACAAGGACTGACTTAGTTCAACCTGGCTAAACATCTGATAATCAACGACAACTTGGGCAATGCAAAGAAATAAGCCGCACAGAAATCAATCTTGATACACAGCTGTGAGAGATTAAATGCTTCAATGCTAGACAAAGCTGCCATTGCCCCACCTTACTGCAAAAAAAAATAAATATTAAAAACGACAGGAAAGTTAAAAATGCACTGAAGAACATCAAACAGAGTTTAAAAAAAACAATAACCGGATTGGCATGATTGATCCAAAAGTATTTTTCAACAATCTAAAATAGATAGATAGACAATGCCTTATTACCTTAAAAGGAATTCGTTTTGGATAACAGAGCTTGACAAAAATACAAACAAATTATGAAATTACTTTTAACATAAAAAGATATTAATATGTGCTTAAACATAATTAGATGAATGTGATGATAACTGGACATTCAACATTTGTTTAAAAGTGATAAAATTTACACCCCCCTAACGCATATCAGAAAACATATACTTCCAATACCAGTTTTAATAATTAATTCATAAATCGCGTTTATTCACGCTTAAATTACAAAAGACTAATTAGCTGAGGCGATGGCGTCCGCAAACCAAAATACTGCATCCTATGGAATCGGTAGGATATGAATAATTACATCTTGGTCAACCTCAATATGCCTTTAATCAGGTGCTAACACCGGCAAACTTGGATTACCATTGTCAACACGGGTTCACTTGGGTGACCAGGGGTTTTGAATAGAACATTATAGCAAACATGTCCATATGGGCGGTAACAGTAAATTAACATTACGCTATGAACAATATGCAACAGTGTGGATGTCGTTAACATTGTCGGCTGTCGAACAGAAATGTCACTGTTCAAACACCAACTACCAAACCCAGTGCAATCACTGCTGAACTAGCCACTATGAAATTGATTCAATTAATGACGTCAGGCTATTGCCGTCTACCGGAAAGTCCCGAATGATTGATCGATGCACGCGTTTGGCACGAGCTCGGTGATATCTACATTTCCTATTGAATGATGGGAACTTTTGCGCTCACCACCTGAACCCGACAGCAGATGAATTGTCGTCTGCTGTGATTTTCTCCCATCCAGCGCAGTGCTTTGTGAATTTCCGAAATAATCCACCATCTTTCTCCATGCACGGTAGTCCATAGCACTATAACCAGTTCTTACAGAAAATCGATCCTTTGACGATGAACTCCCAGTTCAGTAAGAAGGCATAGCAACGGTTGTCAGCATAATTTATCGTCTTCTTTCAATGGTTTCCCAAACCGAGTAAGCAGACGACACGAAGCAAGCGACACAAGGTAAGGCAGGAACGTTTTTAGCATTGACTGTTGTCCCATTATAAACTGCAGGCTTTCCATACAGGCTTAATGTGGGGTTGATGTCGGTGTCAGCCGCTGCTTGTGACAACGTCGACTGAGCGCCTCATCGCGAGCTAACATATGGTACACGGTCTCTCGTTTCATAGGCCTTCAGTCACAAGAGGGTTTACTGTGGTAGCTTATACTTCTTTGCACCGGCATAGTTAAACATATACCATGTTTATATACTCTCATTGCCTTAATGTATGACTAGGTCTGAAATCAGTGCTGAACGAGTGGCGTGACATATACGATATTGTGCATCCACAATGTGTGGGTTGATGTGCATACGAATTACTGTCAAACTGAGTCTTGGGATATAGATTGGTTCAGTGTCTAAAGTGATATATGTATCAGAGGAAAGTCAATATCAAACGAGAAATACTGGAATGCACTGTGACATATTTGCATTTCAAACATTTTGCATTAATGCTGACATTATTACGTAACGTCTTAGAACTGGTATGATTGGGGAGTCAATAATGTACAGAAAAACAACAGGTGAAATATGCGCTTTTAACATGTCATTCGTGTTTCTCGTTTGTGTCAGTTGTGCTATCAAATCGACTACCGGTCGGCAGGATATAGTGGAACCATAGAGATCTGCTGTATAATATTTAGTAATAAGGGCCGGCTACATAGCCGTGTGCTCCATCACTGTTGGTACGATTCCACAACCGGTTAAACTGTCAATATGTGAAACATAATTCTATATGTTTATGCAACGTGACTCAAATACCATGAAACCTCCTTTACCCGAATACCGTAAATATTCCCATAAAGCCATCCTTACCAGAAATCCGTACCCCCTCCCATCGGCCCTCTCATGTATACCCCTAAATCTTTTTACTGAATAACGTAACCCCTATACACAGAGAGCGTTGGTTGGGTAGCCTAGTGGTTAAAGCGTTCGCTCATCATGCTGCAGACTTGGGTTCGATTCCCCACGTGGGTATAATGTGATAAGCCTATTTCTGGTGCCCCCAGCCGTGATATTGCTGGAATATTGTTAAAAGCGGCGTAAAACTAAATTCACTCGCACAAAGAGCCATGTGATAAACGGACGTCGTGAAGTAAGTTCTAGAATCAGTTCTGTAGTTCAAGCCTGAATACCGAAGGTCGTCAGTAAGACACCGAAGTCAACTAAACTGACCAAAGCGAGGTTCACGATATGTCCCCACTATGAGGCGAATATTATACATATCATGAATATTGAGTAACGAATACAATAACATGTCAGCAGTTGATGTATCGTTCAATATATTCAGTGAAACAATTTCAATATCTTCTTTGATGTGCCTTGTCCATGCTGACAGAGTTAATTCATCACGACAATGACCAATGACCATATTGCGGTCAAATTACATGATATGTTTTGACTATTAATAAATGTAGTGTTGACTATTATCCTGTTTGAATTGGACAAATTCCAGCTTGCACATCTCACTTTGATAAACAGAGGGGCCTAATGGATAAAGCGTCTGCTGGTCACGCTGAAGACCCGGGTTCGAATCTCCACATGGGTACAATGTGTGTAGCTCATTTCTGGTGTTTCTCGCCGTGATATTGCTATAAGCGGCGTAAAACAATACTCACTCACTTGATAAACAGATCAAATTCAAGTAAAAGCAACGCTTTTCAAGAAATTCCTGAACAATCTTGTGATGTCGAATAAAGAACGGAATTCATGAATGGATACGGTTCGACTCCCCGAAAACGCGATTGAATCGTAACAGCCCTAGTCTCCTTAACCCGTCGTCGTAGATGGTGACGATATACTGACCTGATTATGGCAGCATGCGGTGTGGGCATGACATGACATTAGCAAGAAAGGTTAAAGTTCGGATATTAGTCAGATTTCTCTTCATTAGAAACGGAGAGATGGTTGGAGGGGTGGGGTCACAGGCGTTTGTTGTGCCTGTGTTTCTGTGTATCGGGACGGCATCTGCATAAATACACACATCCGATCCATTTAGTGGCATACTGTTACCCGGAATCTCCGGTATTTACGGTAGTGAGGGTAGTTATATTACCCAACAATCCGGGCGACGGGGTAGCCTAGTGGTAAAAGCGTCCGATCGTCACGCCGAATCCCCACATAGGTACAATGCGTGAAACCCATTTTGGTCTTCCCCGCCGTGATATTGCTGGAATATTGCTAAGAGCTGCGTAAAACCATACTCACTGACTCACTAACTCGACATTTTTCACCGTAAGTTGGCAGATATTTAAGAGAATACTTGTTTGAATATTGTTATGAACATATTGTAAATTAAGTGAGTTAGCTGTATATACAGTACACACGAATGACGAAGATAATTGACTCATCTCGGTGTATTACATCTACTGAAAATGAAGCACTGAATTGACATTTCCAATATTTTTGATTAATTATAATCTATTATGTCGGGCCTAGGGCGGATATTTAAGAAAAGATCTACCATATTCAACTCGCAGCCTTTTCTCAGTTTCTGAAATATTATCTTAATCTGCTTCGCAAGTTGGACCCGTTAAGATCCGCGTGACAAATGGTCTTCAGTAACCCATGCCTGTCGAAAGAGGCAACTAACGGGATCGGGTTGTCAGGCTTGCTGACTTGGTTGACACATGTCATTCTATCCCAATTGCGTAGATCGATGCTCATGCTGTTGATCACTGGGTTGTCTGGTCCAGAGTCTATTATTTACAGAACACATCCATATAGCTGGAATATTGCTGAGTGTGGCGTCTTTTATACTGGAACCCAATACTCTTTAAAATGTCAGGTAACAGAATGGATTGATTTATTCATTATTAATATTATCTACCCCGGAACACGAACATGAACTGTGCAGAACTGCATCCATCATGCCTGCCTGGACAGCTTATTATTCTTCATTCGGCGGCACCATTCCCCTCATAGTCAGCCTCGCAGGTGTTCTGAAATGTTCAAAGCTACGTTAACCCTAAGTCCTACAGGACAGATACTCTATTCTTGCGGTAAAGTTATCCACTTCTGTAGTAACGCTAACAACTCTTGTAGCAATGGTACCCTTTCCTGTAATATAGATCCCCATTCCTGCAGCCAAGTTATCCTTTCTTGCAGTAAAGACACCCAGTCCTGTAGTAAAAGTAACTGCTCCTGAAAAATGTAGGAGCTCCTGTAGTAAATTTAATCCCTCCTGCAGTGAAGATAACCGCTTCTGTAGTAATTTAATCCCTCCTGCAGTGAAGGTAACCGCTCCTATAGTAAATCTAATCCCTCCTGCAATGAAGTTAACCGCTCCTGTAGTAAATCTAATCCTCCCTGCAGTGAAAGTAACCGCTCCTGTAGTAAATCTAATCCCTCCTGCAGTGAAGGTAACGGTTCCTGAAGTAAATCTAATCCCTCCTGCAGTGAAGGTAACCGCTCCTGTAGTATATCTAATCCCTCCTGCAGTGAAGGTAACCGCTCCTGTAGTAAATCTAATCCCTCCTGCAGTGAAGGTAACCGCTCCTGTAGTAAATCTAATCCCTCCTGCAGTGAAGGTAACCGCTCCTGTAGTAAATCTAATCCCTCCTGCAGTGAAGGTAACCGCTCCTGTAGTAAATCTAATCCCTCCTGCAGTGAAGGTAACCGCTCCTGTAGTAAATCTAATCCCTCCTGCAGTGAAGGTAACGGTTCCTGAAGTAAATCTAATCCCTCCTGCAGTGAAGGTAACCGCTCCTGTAGTAAATCTAATCCCTCTCCTGCAGTGAAGGTAACCGCTCCTGTAGTAAATGTAATCCCTCCTGCAGTGAAGGTAACCGCTCCTGTAGTATATCTAATCCCTCCTGCAGTGAAGGTAAACCGCTCCTGTAGTAAATCTAATCCCTCCTGCAGTGAAGGTAACCGCTCCTGTAGTAAATGTAATCCCTCCTGCAGTGAAGGTAACCGCTCCTGTAGTAAATCTAATCCCTCCTGCAGTGAAGGTAACCGCTCCTGTAGTAAATCTAATCCCTCCTGCAGTGAAGGTAACCGCTCCTGTAGTAAATCTAATCCCTCCTGCAGTGAAGGTAACCGCTCCTGTAGTAAATCTAATCCCTCCTGCAGTGAAGCTAACCGCTCCTGTAGTAATCTAATCCCTCCTGCTCCTGTAGTAAATCTAATTCCTCCTGCAGTGAATGAAGCTCCTGTAGTAAATGTAATCCCTCCTGCGAAGGTAACCGCTCCTGTAGTAAATCTAATCCCTCCTGCAGTGAAGATAGCCGCTTCTGTAGTAAATCTAATTCCTCCTGCAGTGAAGGTAACCGCTCCTGTAGTAAATCTAATCCCCCCTGCAATGAAGATAGCCGCTTCTGTAGTAAATCTAATTTCTCCTGTAGTAAATCTAATCCCTCCTGCAGTGAAGGTAACCGCTCCTGTAGTAAATCTAATCCCCCCTGCAATGAAGATAGCCGCTTCTGTAGTAAATCTAATTTCTCCTGTAGTAAATCTAATCCCTCCGGTAGTGAAGGTAACCGCTCCTGTAGTAAATCTAATCCCCCTGCAATGAAGATAGCCGCTTCTGTAGTAAATCTTATTTCTCCTGTAGTAAATCTAATCCCTCCGGTAGTGAAGGTAACCGCTCCTGTAGTAAATCTAATCCCTCCTGCAATGAAGATAGCCGCTTCTGTAGGAAATCTAATTTCTCCTGTAGTAAATCTAATCCCTCCTGCAATGAAGATAGCCGCTTCTGTAGTAATGTTAACCTCTCCTGTAGTATATCTAGTCACTCCTTTAGTAAAGCTACCACTCTTGTAGTAAAGCTACCCACTTCTGCAGTCAACGTCTCTACGCCTGAAGTAAACGTCTACTACTGCAGATAAGTTACCTATTCCTGCGGTAAACTAATCTTCGCCAGAAGTTTAGTTACTTACGCCAGCAGTAAAGATACCTATTCGAGTTGTTACGTCACCCACTCCGGTAGTTTATTACTTACTTCAGTCGTAAACTTACCAC